CTTCAGGACCCCATCTTGTTTCAAGTTGCTTAGACAATGATTCAAGATGTATAATCTCAATCAAGCTAGTTCCCTGATAAAAAAATGATCATTAAGTAATTATGAATAAGCTTAATAATCAAAACATATTTTAAGAAGTTCTAATAATAATACAGTAACTAGAATTGAAGGAACTTGCCTTATTTTTGGTCAGTACAGTGAATAATATCCTCTATTGACCATAACCGACTACGTCTACTCATAGCATCACTTGGTGATTCCTCTGAAACATACTTTGCTTTCCCCATTTTTGTACCATATCATGCATACCCAAATACCATTTATTATGATAGTCTTGATATTCAATAATAAGCATTTCTCTCCACAAGTTTTCGTATTCCAATTATTGATGAAAACCACAAATGTCTAATACGTGTATCACTTTATCTTTTTGCATTCCTTTGAAAAAGCATGCAATATCTAAAAAATATCTTTTTTCTCCAAATGATCTAATGCATCATAACTTATTTGGAGTTTCTCTTCAAAATGTCATTTGGAGGAACTTCCTTTATTTTCTCCAAAGCATCTTTCCACTTAAGTATACTTTCTCCCATAAAGATAGCATCCCAATACTTCAAGAGTCAAAGGAAGGCCTGCAGCAAACTTAACCACACTTCCAGACAACTCTATATAGTCTTCTATTGGTTTTGTCCCTTTAAAAGCCTTCTGGCAAAACAATTGAAGAGATTCCTCATCATTCAATAATTTTGCCTCATACATGTCAAATTCTCCCATGTGTTTTCAATAGCTGCATATTCCTAGTTGTGACTATTACTCTACTTCCTGGACCCAACCAAGTTTGCTTTATGGCAAGGTATTCAAGTTGGCTCATGTCACTTACATCATCAAGTACTATCAAAACCTTTTGGTTGCATAAACACTTATCATTTTCTTCATTCCATCATTGCATCATTGAATTCTATGCCCTTCAGCTTCCTATTATGTGAAAGAAATTTTCTCTGCAAGGGAACTAGTCCTTCCTTTTCACAAACATCCTTAACATTAGCTAAAAAGTAACAAAGATCAACTGATTATAGTTTGTCTCATAGATAAATCTTGCAAGAGATGTTTTTCCTATACCGCCCATCCCCCAAATTCCTAATAGGCGAATATCATTAAGTCCTATCTTTAAAATTGAATCAACTTCTTTTATCTTTGGACTCCATTCCAACAATTTGTTGATTTTATGACATGACTGGCAGGATACGCTGTAGTTTTGTCCATACACCAGCAACAAGTTCTTTGATGAATTTTGTTTCAAGCCTACATGAAAGAGAAGGTAAAGAAAAAGAGGTTAATTAGTATTCTTAAATTTTGTAAAATAAAAAAAACTAAAAATAATAAACTAGACTACAGTGAAAAAGGGAAACAAAACATACAACAACAAAGTTATTGGTTAATTTCACTTAATGATTATTACTTATAAAGCATTTTATCTTTTAACGTGTAATTAAATTAAATTGGTATGTATGTTTCAAAAATCTTTGACAGAGTTTATCTTTTTCTGCTGGTAAAATTATTCTCGACATGCAATATTTTTTGAAATATAACTTTTATGGCATTAAAAAATAGAAAAATAAAATCATAAACTCATTTAATATTTTTACTGTCATACTAAAATTATTAGAAATATCAAAATAGTAGTATATAAAAAAATAAAAATGTAGTACAAATCTGCCCTCAATAAACGTTAGTACAAATCTGCCCTTAATGTTTCCTGCTAAATGCATCCCATATCTTAAAGTATTTTTGGGATCAATTCCATCCCAACATTTTTCAAAATGGTACAATGTCACCCTGCCATTAAGTTTGATCCGATGGATTGTTAGTTTGACCATTAATCCTAATTTTGGCAAGCGCATGGCATATTTTTAAAAATAAAAATAAAAAATAAAAAAAGACCCCAACCCAGATGAAAATCATCAATGATTATGATTATTCTAAGTTTATCATCTTTGAACGGGATGTTAACCTTTAAAAATCTAGGCTCCACCTTCTAAAACAGATGCTATGCTAGCTCATACTGGGAGCAACATGAGGACAAGGAGTAAGAAGAAGAGGAGGAGGAGGTGAGGATTTGTAAATAAGATTAGAGTTTTGGATCATGAACAAGATCTAGGTTTGGAAGGGGGAAGTGGAAGGGTAGAGGGAGATGTGTAATTACATGTGGAGGGCTGGAGCCTAATGTGGCAAGCCATCTAGATAGTTCATGGTCAAAATTCTTGACTTAATGATCAACATGGTCAAACCCTAACGATAGGGCAAAGTTGTACCAATTTGAAAAATGTTTAGGGAGACATTGCACCAAGAAAATCTTGGGGATATCAGGCGCGCCTATGTAAAAACTTTGAGGGTAGTTTGGCACTTTAATCTTAAATATTTTTATATATATATATATATATAATATATCAAATGTAGGCAGATCAGATCGATCATGTTTTTAAAAACAAGAAGAGTGTATGAATTCAGCAAATAAATTTGAAGGTTGCCTAACCAATATTTTTGAGAGATCTAAAAATCTAAATCTAAAAATCCCCTAAATTGATGACATATGGAAAACTTATTGATCGTTAGAGTGATAGCCAATAAATTTGCAACATCTTTCAAGGTATTTCTCGCCATCTTTGTACCTTCCCTTCTTCACGAAATCTCTCATTGTGCTTTTGAAAAGCATATGCAAATGCTCCCCTTTGATGTCGAACAAGATGGGTCTTACATTATAGAACACAGGAAAAACTTCCCTACCCAGTGATTCCCTAGATTCAAGAACCTTTTGGAGTTCATCCAAACACCAACTTGAAGAAGCATAATTCTGAGAAAGAATAACAATGGAGATGAGAGAATCCTCGATTGCTTGAAGGAGTTGAAAGGAAATAACATCTCCTCTTCGAAGCTCATTATCTATGAAGGTTATGATACTCTTGTGTTGAAGAGCAGCATATAAATGAGCTGTGAAGCCTTTTCGGGTGTCTTCCCCTCTGAAACTCAAGAAACATGATACTTCCATGGTGGGATTCTCGAGCTCATGGAAGACGAGCAATAGGCAGCTTCAACATTAGCATCCATTGAAAAAAGGCTTGTGGGTTGTGTCAGAAAAAGAAAGGAATGAAGGCTTGAACGATGAAGAAAAGAGGTAGATCTTCAGCCAATTAAGCTTGCATGTAGATCTAAGTTGGTTGGGTCAGTCAACGATGAAAGAGGCTATACAAGGTCAGGAAAGTTGGTAGAAACGTTTTAAGAAAGTAATAGGTTTTGCTGGATTAAGAAAGTATTAGGTTGCCTATTCTTTTCCTTTTGCTTTTGTTAGAGGAGAAACTGAATCACCATAACAGACAAAACGAAGCAGGGTGAAAAAATATTGAGCTCAAGTGGAAGTAATAGTAATGATGATGATGGTGTCCATGAATATGGCGGAGCCATGGGTTTGTTCTTAAAGTTATTTGTATATTTTTCTTACATTTGTTTTTAAAATTTGAAAGACGTAGGATGTAAGGCAAAAATAATTTATTAACAACGAATTTTTTTAAAAAAATTTTTATGCCATTGAATTTTTTAAGAAAGTAATGAATAGTAATAGAAATAAAATAATATGGACGGTCCAATATCTGGAAGTTCTTGGATAATATAGTGTAAATCGAAGATGTCTTGGGAGACTTGGGTTTCATGAACATATCGTCATATGACATCATCTTGTTCATCTCTTGGAAACCCATAATCTCCAAGATCGCTTGACATTTATTTAAAAATATAAAATATTCAGAGGTTGTTCACAAAATATTTCCCAATTCTATTTATATATCACTTTTAATTATCTCATCAAAACCAATTAGGGGTAGGTAATTCATTGATCCTGTTTAAAAAGCAAATAAATTTCTTAATTTATACTTATTAAATGTATATCTTTTTTTTTTAAAAAAATTCTCCCTCTTGTAATTTTTTACTCTCTATTCATTTAAAATTATGAAAGGGTTGAATTAGAAGAAAATAATTAAAAATCAACTTTTTCATACCCCATAACTAGTAAAATGACTCTGAATTTTTTTAAAATAGTGATTTATAAATACGCCATGAATTATAAACAAAAACGTTGTCAATATTGTCAAACCAACTCCTCTATATAAATAGATCTGATATATATATCTATATATATATATTTATCCGGAGATGATATACATGTTATCCTGTGAATCGCAAAATAAGTCGTTCTCGGAGAGGAATTGCTAAGAACACAAATGTAAATACAATCTTTTTCCTTTGTTTTATTGGACCGCATAAACGTCTCCAGACTCAAGAGGGAAGTCCAAATTAATTAGCAAGTGTGAACTTTAGCAACAAGAAAAAACAACTGTCAACAAGGAAGCGTATTTTTTGAGAGGGTCTAAGGAGAAAAAAACTCGGTTCTTGATTAATATGCAAAGGACTGAATAAAAAAAATGTCAGAAGAAGCGTGTGGACAATGTCAGATTACTTACTGACTCGGCTTTGCTCCTCAGATGCCCCCCTCCTCGAAGTTCCGCCGTCCAAATTTAATATTTTATTATTTTATTTTTATTAAAATATAAAATTATAAAAATTATAAAAATTAATAAATCTGGTTATCAATTTGGACAGTATAAATTTAATATTTAATTTTTTTATAATTTTATAAATTAATTATTCAGATGTACAATTTAGAAGTAAAATATTTAACTTGTAATTTTTTAAAATAATTTTTAAAAATTTTTGTTAGTAACTATCTTCATTATCTAGAATATATCTAGATAGTCAATTTAAAAAAATTTAATATTAAATTTGGACCATTCATATAAATTTGTACTGTTCAAAGTATATCTCTTTAGATAGTTAATGTATAAAAA